CGCCGCCGCGTTCTGGCCGAAGCTCTGGGGCGAGGAGGTAGCGGGCGCCCGCGAGAGCGAGATCTAAGCCGCAGGCGCCAAGAAACGCATCCATAACCTCCGCCGCAAGTTCCGCGGGGCGCAGTGCCAGGGGGCAGGGCAGCCATCGAGGCCGAGGATGCCAAGTTCTTGGCGGGCCACCCCGACCACGGGGAGCAAGTGGGCAAAGCATACTCGAGCGCAGGGGGCAAGTGCAGGATCGCCCTCGTCAGCATCTCCGCCGTCGAGGGCTGCTTCGACCCAGGCGCGGGGCCCAAGTCTGCCATGAAGCGCAGCGTGCCCCTCGCTCCCCGCGCCATGCACTGCCGAGTAAGCCGCGCGAACCTCGAGGGCGGCGCCCGGCGGCGCGACGCCACCTACGAGCGGGGCGACTGAAAGACGGAGCGTTTCCGAGCGGGCGAGCACTCGAGCGCGTTGCTCATGGGCCGGCGCAGCGCTCTGCTCGAGTTCCGAGGAGGGCCGCGCGAGGATCTTCGAGGTCATCGACGCGCGGACGAGGCTCACCGCCTCCTGGGCCATCGACTTCATCGAGGAGCAGCGCGGCCAGGGCCTCGTTCGCGGACTGCCTCTCGAGCCAGTGGGCCGGGGCCGTCGCGCTCCGAGCGTGGCTTGAGAACGTGGCCCGCGCGCCCGCGGCCCCCGACGTCGCGAGCTTCTTGCATGGGCCAGGCACCGACGAGCACGGCCAGCTCAAGGCCGCGACCCGAGAGGTCAAGGCAGACACGCACTGGGCCACGGAGAAGGACTGTGCCCAGAAGGCGAAGGCCGAGCCCGAGAAGAAGCGCGAGTTCCCGACCCGCTAGGGGCCCCGCGAGCGCCTCTATTGCGCATCCGAGTCCTGCGCCCGCTTCCGCGACGAGCGCAAGGAGGCGGTGCCGCTCGAAAGGCTGCAAGCGAACCACATGCTCGTGGTCCGGCCGGCCGGGCAGGGCACCTGGGGCCCGGGGGCTGCGCCGTCGAGCCCGGCCGCGGCGTCGATTTGTGGTTGGCGAGCGAGCGCCAGCGTCCTGCCCTGCCCCGACAGCGCGCCGCCCGCGCCCGACTGGCGCGCCCTCGACGGCGATTGCTTCTGCGTCCAGGTTTCGCCCGAGAACTGCGAGGAGGGCGAGATCCCCTGCTTCTTGGAGCTCCGAGACGTGGACCTCGAGCCCACCGACGAGCAGAGGGGCGTGCTCTGGCCGCCCGAAGACCAGATCAAGGAGGCCCAGTTCCCGCGCCGTCTCAAGAAGCGATTCAAGGTGGCTCGCGCAACTGCGCGCGCGAGCAGGTGAGCGGCCAAGTTCCCGGGCCTTCTCCAGGGCGAGCTGCGGCGCGGCAGCGCGCGAAGGCCGAGACTGGCGGCGAGGCTTCGCTCGGGCCTCGAGCGCCCGGGCCGAGGCGCGGCCGAGGCGAGACTCCCACGCAGGGCCTCGAACATCAAGACGAGCTTTTCCCGGAGGTTCAAGGTCAAGGCGCAGACGGGCCAGGGCGAGAATAATGATGGGAGGGCCATGGCGAAGGTGGGCATCAAGGCCCTCCCCCCGGCACGGCATGGCGGCCCGCGTCGCCGAGGAGGGGGCCCCGCAGGGGCAGGCGCGGCAGGGCCCAGAGCGGCCGGCGAGTCCAGGGCACCGAGGGCGCCCGCCGTCACCGAGCGCGCGAGGCCTAGACCGCGGCGATCCTTAAGATCAGCGGCGCCGCGGCTCGGAGGCCCACGGGTGCTCCTTAGCTTCGACCTGCTTCCGCCCGAGGAGGGCCCGGAGGAGGGGGAATAGGGGCTGGGGGGGGGGGGGGCGGCGGGGGCTGGCGGAAGCAATGGGGGGCGGCAGAAGCGAAGGCGGGAGCGAAGATGGAAGCGATGTCACGATTGTGTGGCAGGGCTACGGGGTTTATTTTCTCGGCCTTGTGGCAGGGCCATGATAAGTTATTCTCGCCACTTCAGCTTTCCCAAGTCATGAGCGCGTGGCAGGGATGCGGGATTTCATTTTCTCAGCGCTTCCCAAGTCAGGAACGCGCGGCAGGGCCATCGTATTTTCGCCATCGCAGATTTCCCAAGTCACGAACGTATGGCAGGGCCATTGGATTCTCACCACTTCAGCTAATTCTCCCCAGTCACGAACGCATGGCAGGGCTATGGGGCTCTCATTTTCCAGTCCAGGCGCCAGGGGGAGGCGGGGGCTGGCGGGCGCGAAGGCAGGAGCTGGTGGAAGCTTGGCGCCAGGGGGCGGAAGCAGGCGGACGCTGACGAGAGCCCGTGGGCCCCCGAGCATCGCGGGTCACGGTTGAGCAGGATCACAAGTTCCCCAAGCCGCAGCAGCTGGACTGGCGCCAGCGCAGGGCAGCTCGGCGCGCAGAGGTCGCCAAGGAGTGCGCGATCATGAACTGCGAGCAGATCCAGAGGGGCGACGCCCTCGAGCTGGGCGCGGTGCGCGCGCTGATCGGCGAGGTCGACGCGCGGCGGTCGGGCCCGCGGCGGCCGCCGCCTCGGCTCGAGAGGGCCAGGGCGAGGACGAAACCGGCGCCCAGCAGCCCGAGGGGCAGAAGCGCCAGGCCGAGGGAGTCGACGAGGCCGAGCACCTGCTGATCGCGGTGCGATCCGAGGCCCCCCCGCGTCGCACCTACCTCGAGGCGCCCCCGAAGGGGGCGGGCGTGGCCGTCGAGTGCCGCGACGCCTTCAAGAAGCCGTCCAGGTGCGCTAAGCAGGCCGCCGCGAGGATTCCATGGAAGCTCGGCGCCATCGGCCTCGGCGAGGAATGCCCTGCAAGCAGCGACGAGACGTTCCGAGTGGACGGCCGGTCTTGGAGGCTCTGGGCGACGAAGTGGGCCGGGCGCGCCCCGCGCGAGATCCGAGGCGAGGGCCGCCGGCCGCCCATCAGCGTCAGCGCGGCGCGCGCTCGAGGCAACGAGCGGGCCCAGAAGCTTCGGGGCGCGAGCGAAAACCGCCTTGCCAGGGCCACGGCCATGGCCGAGGCCAGAAGCAAGGGCCAGGCCCAGCCGCCGAAGGACCCGACCGCGCCAGAACCCAAGCGTCGCGCGCAAGCTGGAGGAAACGAAGGGTGCCGGCGGACGGCGGAGTGCTGGCTAACAGCCTGGCGCACGAGCTCAAACAATGCATAACTGTGGAGAAGGTGCAACAGGCACACCGCGCTGCGCCCCTCCAACAAGCCACTCTGCGAGGGCAAGCTGGGCCAGGCGCGGCAGCCTTCCTGAGCAACCCGCCGAGGCGCTCTGCGCGCTCGAAGACGCGCGCTGGGGGGGGGGGGGGCGCGCGCCCCCGGCTCCACCTCTGGGGGGCGGCGAGGTCTGCGCTCGGCCGCTGGGCGACCTCGGTTACCAAGACGCCACCTGCCAGAGCGGCAGCGGGGTGGTGCGCAGGCGCGACAGACTGGCGGGACGGCTCGGCGGACTGCGAGGGCCCTCTCAGACAGGCCGCGGCCGGGCCGCGCCGAGGTGACGGAGCGCGACGTGATCGATTTCGAGTGTCAGGAAGACGATGGCCGCCGCTGGCTCGAAGCGTCCGTGCAGCACCCCGCTGAGGGCACCGCGGCGGGGCAGCGGGTCGCGGCGCGCGCGCCGGCGGGCGGCCAGCCTCGTCGTTGGGGGCGACGGCTGCGCGCGGGCGAGGACCCGCGCATGCGCGCTGGAGTGCGACCCGCGATTGCGCGGATAACTGCCGCGCCGGGCGCCGCTGAGACGGCGGACGCACGGCTGCTGAACAGGCTTGGGCGGCGTGGGAAGCGCCGCGGGCGGCCGACAACTGGCGACCTGGGGGCGGCGGTGCCCTGCTCGGCGCCCGGCCGGCCGTTGCGCTGGCCGGGGTCCAGTGGGCGGCGCATGGCGGGCGCCGCGTCGCTGGGGCGTCGGATCGGTGGCGAGCAGGTCTTGACGCTTCGCGTATCCCCACCAGCCCATCCAGAAACGATGCCCACGAGAACTGACGGGGGAAGACAGGAAGAGACACGCATAGTCAAGCAGCGAGGGAAGCCGGCCTGGACGGCGTGTTGGGGCCATCTCCAGGCCCGCGTGGAGGTCATTTTGGGCTCTGACTCTCAGGGGCTTCCTGGGTGCCTCTGGGGTGCCTCTTGGAGGCCTCTTGGGGCCTCTTCGGGCGCTCTTGCAGCCCTCTTGGGGGCCTCTGGGGAGCCTTGGGGGGGCCTTTTGGGACCATTTTAGAGGCGGTCGGTCAAATGATGGGGTCCTCGATGTAGTTCCCCCGCTCGGCCTTTCGGGGGCCACGATCCTCGGAAGTGGTGTCAGAAAGTGACCCGGCCGAAAAAGGACCGTGTGACACATCGGGCCTTTTTCCAAAAAAAAACACCCTGGGAGGGGAGGGGAGGGGAGTGTTCCCTTCCCCGAGTGGAAGACGGGTCGTGGGAGAGAGAAAGAGAGAGAGAGAGAGAGAGAAAACAAAACAAATGAGAGAGACCCTCGTTAGACCACCTGTCGCCCTGAGGGCAGGTGGGATTCCCGCCCCCCTCGAGGAAATCCCTGTACGAGAGTTATCCTGGGATGGGGCGCCAGCAGCAGCGCAACCTGCTTCGTTGGGCGGTTTTGTTTTTCTACGTGCGAGTGTTCCTTTTTCCGACAGACCTCGTGCGCAGAATTTGTGTGCCTGCCTTTTTATGTCTGTCCGTCTGTCTATGTTTCTGTTTGTCTCTGTTTTTTTTTCGTTTTTTTGTGTTTAGTTTTTTTTTTTTTGTCTCTCTCTCTCTCTCTCTCTCTTTCTCTCTCGCAAGCTTGAAACGTGATCGGTTTGCTCGAAGTGAGTATTGATATTGTAGTGTTGTTGATGATCGCAGCAGGGCTTTGCCGAACGTGGCTATACACGGCGAAGGTCATGTAACGCATTTGAAGGTAGGGTCGTCGCCGTCTTCCTTCTCGGCCTCGTCGTCGTTGTCATCGTCGCATGTGTCGTCGTTTTGGAGCACGTGTTTACTACAGAGCGATCCGTTCGTGCTTTGGGCTGCGCCTAACTATGTGAGGTCAGCGAACTCACAGACCAAGAGTTCCCTTCGCCCCGCCGCCGGCGTTTTTCATGGTTGTGCTTCGTGATTGAGGAGGGGGGAGGGGGGAGGGGTAGAGGGATGGAGGAGTGGGGGGGAGGAGCGATGGGGGTGGAGGAAGGAGCAGGGGGAGTGGGGTGGGAGGGAGAAAGGGAAAGGATGAGGGAGGGACGGGGGGACGGAGGTAGGAGGATGTAGGAGGAGGAGGAGGGGGAGGAGGAGAAGAAACAGGACGACAACGAGGAGGAGGATGGGGAGGAGGAGGAGGGGGAGGAGGAGGAGGAGGAGGAGGAGGAACAGGAGGAAGAGGAGGAAGAGGACGACCAGGAGGAAAATGAGGAGGAGAAGGAGGTCCCCAGAGGTCAATGAATTTAACCATTGACGTACTTTGACGGAGGAGGAGGATGTGGACGGGAGAGGGGGGCATCACCAGGGAGGACGGAGAGGTAATAGGACGGGGGAGGAAGGGGGGCGGAGAGGGGGGGAGAGGCGGGAAGTGAACGATGGACGGGGAGAACAGAGCGGAAGGAGAAAATGGGGACGAAGAAAGAGTGGAGGAAGAGGAGTGCAACCCCGTCCCTCATTCTCTTCCACTTCGCTTTTTCCCCCTTGTCCTGCTCAGCCGACGCCCAGCTGCGGGCCCTTGCGACCGGCACCCTGCTGATGGCCGCGCCTGCCCCCCCCCCGCCACCTTCCTGTCGCTCCTTTGCCCAACAATGCGGGCCAAGATGTCGCAGTCAGTAAGTCAGGGTCAACCTTACGGGGGGGATGGCTCAGGGGAGGACGCATCGACCCCCGATCGCACATTGATCACCAACAGGGGCCTGATAGCCCAAGCCGCCCAATGCCGCCCAGGAATATGCGATTGAGCCGGTCCCGCTCTCACGTTGCAGGTCGGTGAGGGCTGACTCGGCGCGGTTAATCGTGCTCTGAGCGCGCCGCGGCCCAATGCTTTATGAAACCCGGCGCGCTGTGCCTCTGGACAGGGATGCTTGCATAGATCGTCTCGCTGCGGCGACGGCCGAATTTCTGGGGCCGCTTCCGGCAAACCGAAACCATATAGACAAGACACCCTAAAAACCGACGCTGCATGATGATAAGCATGGTCGCCACGCGGCGGCATGGAATTTCTTCCTGATTGCAGTGAACAAACAGCCAGGCACGGCAGTGCACGGCAATTCCTTCGCATGCCAACAGCGCTTTCTGAAGTTTTTGGTGTCTTTCCCACCTACTGTCCCCGCTCCGCCTCCGACGGCTAGGCACGGCTGTGCCGCCGCGCTATACGCCCCGAACGTGGACATCGCCGAGTTGCAGACCAATTTTAACGGGCGAAGAACGGTATAAAATAATTGTTTTCGCTGTCGGGGGCGCCTGTCCCAGGGCGGCTGGAAAGTTTATACCCTTACGGTGGCACCGTAGGGGTATAAACTTTCCAGCCGCCCAGGGACAGGCGCCCCCGACGGCGAAACAAAAATGTTATACCGTTCTTCGCCCGTTAACAATTTGGTGCCCGACACGCGCATCCACTTCATACTCTCGAGCTGTGCGCGCGGGAATTCTGCGGAGATGGCGTACCTAGTGCAGCTGTCAGTGGAGGACATCACCATGCCCGTTTTCGAGCCCGCACACATGTACGTGAAGTGTGACCCTGGCTACGGCAAGTACATGGCGTTTGGCATGATGTACCGCGGGGACATGTAAACGCAGTTGCGGTATCAAGACCAAGCGCATCATTCAAGTCGTGGCTTGGCGGCAAAGGACTAATCTGGCTTCTCTGGCTTCTGTTCGACACATCCGTGCGAACCGCTGGCTTCAACCTAGACGCGCCCGCGCAGGTCACAGGGCGCCGCAAATGAGGCACCGCAGCAGGAGGCTTCTTTTCCTCCCCTCTTCTTCCTCTCCCCCCTGTTCTCGCGTCTCGCCCTCTTCCTCTTGCCCTCTTCCTCCTTCCGTTCGTTTCTCTCTCTCTCTCTCTCTTTCTCTCTCGTGGTATCTTTTCTGCATAAGTTAGACTCGACCCGCGTACGACCTCGGAATACGGCTGACTTTCATAGCTTCACCTTCGCATGTCGTGTGCGTCGATCTGTTTCGAGAGCTTAGAGGCTCTGCAGCAGTGTAAGAGACTCGGATGGTCTACCTCCTTCGGCCCGTTTTCGGCCCTGCACTCGGGCTCCCGCGACCATCCCTATATGTCGGATGGCGTGGGACTCAGGCTGGGACGCTTGCGCGTCTGTCGGCTACGAGTCCACCCGCAAGGAGTGGGGGCTCTTGGACCGCCAGAAGGGCAGGGACATCGCACCGCTGATCAGATATCTGGGTTGCATTCTTTTTTCTCAGCGAGATGTGCTCACTCGAACGATTTGCACCAATGCTGTGAATGAATGAATGAGTTCTTGAAACTAAGCCCGGCACGGCACGCCACGCGGGCAAACCAAGGCACGGCACTAGTTGTTTCTTCAAATTCTCGGGGCCAAGCGTGGCACGGCACGGCGCGCGGGCACGCCGCAGCACAACACGGCAACTTTCTCGAATTCTTTGGATAATCCTGACCATTTCTAGCATCCGTTGTTTACGAACGCGCCTTCTGGCATTCGGGCCCCTCGCGGCAGTCGCAGCGTTGGCTGTTTCGCGGCCATTGGAGGTCTCAGCATTCCAACAGAAGTATTAATACACGTACGATGGTTCAATGATTTTCAATACAACGTGTCCGAAATGCTGAACGTATGCGAGCGCGCGCGCCATCACCATCTTCATCACTACAACCGTTCTCATCACCACCAGCGCCTTTATTGCCGTTTCCATCGTCGTCATCATGGTCATCATCGTCGTCATCATCACCACCGCCGTCATCATTGTCATCGTCGATGCAGTTGCCCGTGTCAAGCTTCAGCTCGAGCATTTTATCATCCATGCCCGCACCGTCATCATTTGCATCACCAACGTAATCATTGCCACTATCATTACCACAACCATCAGCTCCACCACCTTCGTCGTTGTCGACAACGTTCCATGGACATCACTATCGTCATCGCTACCGTCGCCAAGTTGAGTTGTGCCAAAAAGTTGCGGGTGGATTGATAAGATGTGGCACGACGTTTGGACTCCAATAGTGTCATGTGAATTTGGCCGCATTGATAACAGCCTTTTGGGTGCCTTTGCACATGTTGTAGCATAAATGGCATAAATGTTGCACACCGCGAGTGCAAGTGCATGTTGTTCGGAGCTTGCGTTGGCTAGCATCATGATGCTCGTTGGTTGAAGCTAGTCGAGTTTGGCCGCTCACACATTCACTGCTGCAAGTGATGCTCACAAGCGCAACAACACTTGGATGGCCACCAAGATACAGACTGGTGTGGTGAAAGCCTCCCGTGGAACGCCCGACGCATTGGGACACCCACCTTTCCCCCCCCTTGCGGTTCCCCCCACCTCCTCGCCCTCTCCTCCCCTTCTGCCCCCCCAGTTCCCCTCCTCTCCTTCGCCCGTCCCTCCCCGCCCCCCCCCCCCTGCCAGCGCTGCCAGCCCAGCCAGCCATGCCAGCCATGCCCGCCATGCCAGTTCCTGTTATGCGTTAGCACGTCCGTGCGATGTTTTTGGAATGGTGTGCGATGATAGTTGTATGCGATGGCATGCCGTGGCACGCTTGTGGTAGAGACGACGTCTCTCGTACGGCGTTGCGGTCCTCCATTCCCCCTCCCCGGAAGGGCGCCAACAGGGAGCCCACACCGAGCTTGGCCAGGCGAGCCTCCTGCCCCAGGATCGGCGAACGTATACCTTCAAGGCCAGGCCGGAAGGGCACGAGCCGCTGCCGTGGAGGCGTGCTGGACGCGCGCGCGCCAATCCGCGGCGCCCAGGCTCGCCCAGTACAAGGGCGGCGGCCTGCAGGAGCGGCCCTACCGCGGCGCTCCCGTCGTCGCCGCCAGCGGTGGCCTCGTCGTCGTCGTCGACGCCGCCGTCGTCGTCGGGCGCCGTCGCCGTGGAGCGGCCGCCGCTTCGGGGCGGCGGGCGTGCCGGCGGGCGTGCGCGGGCGCGGGCGGTCCAGAGTGCCTGTCCCCCAAGACGATGCTGATATTAATCCATATCGATTGGGCGGCGCGCCCAGTGGGGTAGCGCGAGCGTTTTACAAGGCCCCCCCCCCTCGTGCCACCCCATCGGGCGCGCCCCCAATCCACCGCCCCCAGGAAACGATGTCCTGAGGCCCCAGCTGACGGTGGACGTGGATATATTCTAGACGTTTCGCGCAAGCCCACCAGCCCATCCAAAAACCCTACCCAGGCGAGTTGCCCTGATCAGGGATGTGGAGGAGCATGCAGTGGAATGCAGGGCTGGGACGCCAGTCACACCCGAAGAGGGAGAGGATGGAGAAGGAATCGGAAGAGGAGGAGGAGGAGGAGGAGGATGAGGAGGAGGAGGGGGACGCGGAGGAGGGAGGAGGCAAGATGGAGGAAGGATGAACAGGAATAGGCGGATAATGATGACGATGCTGATGATTATGATGCTGATCATGATGGAGATGACGATGAAGATGACTATGATGATGCTGAGGATGATAAGGCTGATGATGATGATGATGCAGATGCTGGTGCTGATGGTGGTGCTGATGGTGGTGGTGATGATGATAATGATGATGATAGTGACCATGGTCAGTGTGGTGTTGATGAGCCTGATGGCATTGGTGATACTGATGATGGTAACGATGATGATGAAGATGATCAACATGAAGATGAACCTGCTGCTGAGCATGATGGTGGTTTTGATGATTATGATGATGTTGATGATGACGAGGCTGAGGATTATGATGATGCGTAGGATGATGATGATGATATTGATGGTGATGGTGATGGTGATGGTGATGCTTGCGATGCTGATAACGATGGTCATGATGCTGCTGCTGATGATGCTGCTGATGCTGATGCTGATGCTCATGATGACAGTGACGGTGATGGTGACGGCGACGGTCATGGTCATGGTGATGATGGTGATGTTGATGATGCTGATGATGATGATGATGAAGATGCTGGTGATGGTGATGATGATACTCGTGATGATGATGTTGATGCTGATGACGATTGTGTTGAATGGCGATGACGATGACGATGGTGGTGATGATGATGCTGCTGATGATGATTATGGTGAGCATGGTGATGACGTCGATGGTGATGGTGGTGCTGATGATGACGACTATGACGATGATTACAATGCTGATGCTGATGATGATGATGCTGATCATGATGAATCTAAATATGAAGATGATGATGATGATGCTGATGATGATGATGCTGCTGATGATGATGATGGTGGTAGTGATGATGATGATGCTGCTGAAACTGATGATGATGATGATGGTGATGGTGAGGATGATGATGATGATGCTGATGCTGATGCTGATGCTGATGCTGATGATGCTGATGCTGATGATGATGATGATGATGATGATGATGATGATGATGATGATGATGATGATGATGATGATGATGATGATGATGATGATGATGATGATGATGATGATGATGATGATGCTGATGATGATGATGATGATGATGATGATGATGATGATGATGATGATGCTGATGCTGATGCTGATGATGATGATGATGATGATGATGATGATGATGATGATGATGATGATGATGATGATGATGATGATGATGACGTGAATGCGATCCGACATGCCAGAGGCTTCTTGGGCCCCCCCCCCGAGTTTCTTCGGATGCCTCTCGAGTGCGCCGTGGGGTTATATTAGGGCGTCTTGGGGTCTCTTGGCGTTCCGAGGAGCCTATTGGACCATCTTGGGTGTCTCGGATGAGCCTCTTGAGGCCTCTTGGGGTCTCTTGAGAACCTGTCGGGGACGTCTTAGGGGCCTCTTGGGGCCTCTTGGGCGCCTCTTGGGACCCTTGGGCGCTCTTGGGAGCCTCGGCGGCCATCTTGGGACCACCTTGGAGGAACTCGATCAAATAGGGGGGGTCCTCAGTTAGGGTCGCCCCCTAGGAGACCAACATGGGCCCACACTTTACGTAAAATCAATGATTTGTGTTTTCTAGCCGATGCCTTCTTGGGCGCTCTAATCGGTCGCGGGGCGCCCCGTCCAGGTCCAGTGGAGGGGGTACGGGGAGGGGTCAAGACTCCCTCCCCGCCCGTAAGCCGTCTCGCTCACTCCCACCCGCCCTCCCAACACATACGTAGCACCCGAGTCTGCCCCGAGCCTCAGCATATTCAGCAGTCGTCTATGGATGGGCAGCTACCGGGGGCCAATCCGCCGCCGCCGCCGCCGCCGCCGCCGCCGCCGCTGCCCGCCGCCGCCGCCGCCGCCGCGCCGCCGCCGCCGCCGCCGCCGTCGCCGCCGCCGCCGCCGTCGCCCCGCCGCCGCGCCGCCGCCGCCCCCGCCGCCGCCGCCGCCCCCGCTGCCAAATCGCCGCCGCCGCAGCCGCTGCCGCCGCAGCCGCAGCCGCCACCGCCACCGCGCCACCGCCGCCGCCGCCGCAGCCGCCGCCAACGCCGCTGCCCCCGCCGCCGCCGCCGCCACCGCCGCCGCCGCCGCCGCCGCCGCCGCCGCCGTCGCAGCAGCCGCAGCCGCCGCCGCCGCCAAGTGTACTTTCTATTGTTGACAGGGATGGTGGGGGGAGGCCGCATCGGGTTGGCTGCGCATGCTCCGAATTCGGAGACAGAGCGTCGAAGATTTTTCACGACATCAGCAGGGCACCGCGCCCTTGCAATCGAAGTCGCGAAACCTGTCGCGACAGACGAGGGCCAAATACAAGCTGGTGCATGCAGTCCCCGCGACCTGTGCCACGGATCTCGCATTTATCAGAGTTATTGTAAGTTTCCCTTGAGCGGCGGGGGGTCGGGGACCGAAAATGCTATGCGCATGGACATACACGAGTGCAACGCAAAAGCGCCAGCGGGATTTTGGGCAAATTCCGGCCGAGGGATGTAGGGCCAACTCACGCGGAGGAGCACCACAGGCGGCCCCGACCCCCAAAACTACACACAACAAAGTTCGTCGAAAAACGTGTTTTTGGTATGTAAGTAGTACTGCTTACGGGGAGGGGCCAACCACAAGAAGGGGTCGGGCGGAAATCCCCCAAAGGAGTCTTGAAGACAGCGCGATCGAACATATTTTCACGACACCAGCTGGGGCACCGCGCCTTTTGTAGTCGATCGAAATCACGAACCCTGTCGCGACCGGCCAGCGGCACAGTTCCTGCAGTGCCCGTAACCTGTGCCACGGAGCTTGCGTTCACTAAAGTTATCGTGAAAGCCAGTCCACACTTGCCGCATGGTAGACTCTGACCCTAAATGGGCCTGCAGCCTGCTTCCACAGAAGGAGGGGACGGGAGGGAGCTTGAATGAAACACCCATTTGACCACACCCCTGATGGCCAGCCCTCCCACACCAGAAACGGATTTTCTGACTGAAGCGTGAGGAGAGGAAAGAGGAGGCGGCAGCAGCAGCAGCACGGCTCACGTCCTGCGGCGAGCTCGTACCCGGTGAAAGTTCGAGGGCCTGCCCGCGGGCTCAGACACGGCGATCGCCGTGCCGCAGCATGCCACGCGGTCGTTAGTGACGAGGGCGAGGCGCTAGATCATGGCCTTCACGATGGGGTTGGTGCTCTTGTCGGAGGTCTCCGCGCGCGGCGAAGCTGCTTCGCGGGCTCCCGCCAGAACTGGTGGCCCATGGTCATCACGTGCTGCTGTAGCTCCGCTCGGCGCCTATGCCTGCTGAGGGCTGCCGGCGTCTTCCGGCGCCCGCGCCTGCGAGCTTCCTCGAGCCCTCCGCCTGACGCCGCGAAGTCGGCCGCGGCCGCGTGGCGGATGCCACGGGGCGGGCCCGTGCGATCGAGGCCCAGCTCCTCCGGCAGTTTTGCCCAGGACCTCCTGGAGCTGCCCTTCGCCACGGGCCGGGCAGCGCCAGTTCGTCGTCCGCGACCGTTGAAGTCAATGCCTCCAGGGACGCGCAGGTGACCTTCATCTTGAGCTCGACTCCCTAGTCGGACCCCGTCTCTCGCCTCGCCCATCGGCGCCCAAGAATCAGCGCCGTCCGCCCCTCTGCATCCGCACTCAGACTCACGCGCCCCTCGCGCAGCTGGCCCCAGTCCTGCTCCCGCTGCCGCCCGCCCAGCTGGGTGAGCGCGGCCGAGCTTTCGATGATCTGGCCGCGTCCGAAGAAGGCCTGGATGATCACTCCCATGGCCTCCATCGGGGTGGGTTCGCCCTCGCCGGCCAAACCCATGCGGCCCCCAGCTATTGAGCGCCCTTGCCGAGACAGGCAAGCGGTTCCTGTGGTCCTCGAAGATGCGCAGCATGACCCCGTTGAACAGGTAACTGGCCTTTGCGTAGCTGGCATGCTGCACGTAGCACAAATCCGCGATGTAGCCCGCCAGCGTCTCGTCGCGCTCCGCCGCGCTGCCGAAGGGGCGGGCGCCGCGCCTCGCGTCCACCAGGCGCTCCTTCACCGACCTCTCGCACAACGCATTGGCGCGCCGCCGTCCGGCGCGCGGGTCACGAGCCTGTTGTAGTGCTTCATGGGGGGGCGGTGGGCGCTACCTTTCACGCTAGGCCCCCCCGCTCCTTTAGCGGCGGAGCCCTCAAACTCGTGGCCGCCGCCCGCTGCGCCCCGGCGACCAGGGTGACCCGCGTGAAGGCCCAGCGGCCCCTCGTCGTCGTAGCACTCGAAGCCAGCGGAGGAGGCGCTTCGGAGTATATCTCGCACTTCGACCAGCCCTTGTTTCTGCCGCTGCTCCTAGGCCGACGCCCCGCGACGGCCCGTCGGCCACGTTGACCTCTGAGGGGGCCCGCCGGAAGTCGGGCCTCAGACGGCGCGCCAACTGCGCCGCTCAAGCCGCCCGTGCCAGATGCGAAAGAGCTCGCGCTGAGCTCGCGCCCTTC